TGGCCCCATGTTGTGCGCGGTTAGAGCCTGGGAGGAGGAGTTGGGAGACCTGGGCTCAGGAAATTCCACCACCACCCCTTTGCGATGCTTCCTGGGCTGCCTCACAGGGCTGTTGTGAGGGGCCAAATGGAGAGAAGGAAGGTCAGAGACAGCTTGGAGCGCCTTAGAGGAAACGAACCGAGACCTGACGAAGAATAATTCATACAAAGGACCTGCCCGTTTAGTATCTGTCAGGCTGCCTTGAGCATAGACCCCCCCATGGGTTGTACTGTCACACCATGTGTGATGGGAGTTGTAGTCCCTCTCCGGAGCTAAGCTTCGAAGCTGTTGTGAGATCTTATCTCTCCTGGAGGGGGTGGATTTCAACGTAATCTCCCTTTGTTATTACTGGGGGAGGTTCTGTTCTGTTGAGGGGGTGCTGCGGGCGGCTTGCGGGGGGGGGAAGAGGAGGACTAAAAGGGTGCTTCATCGGGAGCCAGGATCGTGGAGAGAATTAACACTTTAAAGAAACAGAAAGAGAAAGAGAGAGAGAGAGAGATTGCGTCGTGAAGGTGACCTAGTCTCTTATTTGACTTTTTCCCCCTAAATCGACGCCAACCCTATTCCTTCTGCTGCTGCTGCGGCTTCGTTGGCTTTTCCCCTCTCTCTTTACTAACTCGGGGTGCAAAATCCCGTATCTGCGCCTAAGCTTCCGTGGCCGTCAAGGGGGCTTCCTTTCGAGGAGACCCCTGGAGTTGGGGCGGGGGGGGGAAGAGAGGGGGGGGGGGAGAGAGGGTTGTATTTTTTTTTCCTGATCTTGCACGACCACTCCCTCCCCGGGAGCCCCTCGCCTTGAACTCGGTGGGGCTTTCTTTGCTTGCGAGTCACCGGGGGGGCGGGGGGGCCTTCGCGGCGTCCAGCCGGAAGCTTTCCCGAGGGAAGCGGACTTGCAAAGCTTCCGTCCAGCCCAAAGCGTCCGTCTTTAAGGTGCCACCGGACTCTTTGGCTGGGCTTTTCTCTCTCCGGAGCTCAGCCGACTTCTCTCGCCTTCCTTTCCTCCCGCGGCGCAAGCATCATCTCCTCTTGGAATAATGAATGGCACTCCTGCCGCCTTCCAGCATCCCAATCCCTGCCTTCCTCCCCCCCTCCCGCACCTTTATTTGGTAAACTGATGGGGGGGGGAGAGAACGAGGCAGGGAAGGTTCTCTGTCTCTCCCCGGCGGGGTTTGGGTTTCACGAAGCCCGCAACCAGCCCTCCTAAAGCAACCGGTTTTTTTTTTATTCCCGGCAGAGAGGTGTGTCCACCTTTAGGAGGATACAAAGCCTGGTATATTTATTTGGAGTTTTATATTTATTCCAGGGACACTTTGTGTAAGGGAAACAAAAACG